GAACAAAAACCTGATAAGGTTGATTAGATGCTTGTGTAAGGGATGGTCGGGTAAAAGTTGCAGGAAGAGGAACTGGCAACACAAGTTCCGAAGAACAAAAATCAAAGTAGTAGAGGTAGAACAGGCACAATAAAGCAACTGCCCGACGATGGGCTAGCGACTGTAGACTGGATGTTAGGGAAGGATCATCGACTAGCAGGATGGCCTTTCGTTGAACACGATCAAGAAGTGAAAAGGAAGAGGACGAGGCCCCACCCCATACGTGACTACAGTATTCAAGAGCAGGGCGGATTTGAGCTTTGTACAATAGATGAACTGACTGAGTGACTAGGCTGAGGGTCGTAAACCGCGGCGCTTGTGCATTTACTCATGATTCTTGCAACCCCAGTCTACGTAAATTCTCTATTTTCACTTCGACTCTGCTCTCAGAACTACTGTCTTCATTCTAATCTTTTACTCAAAATGAGCAACCAAAACCGGCGCATGAAAATGCATGGTTAGCGGTTGTGAAAACTGCAACTGAAACAGGAAGTAAACCCCAGTGGCCAACAAACAGAGTAAACAATCCAACTGTGAATACACACCTTCTGAAGCATTGTGGTCTCATAAGAAACGATATCAAGAACACCATCGCCAGCGTGCGCCTCTGAGTTCTCATCAAACCAGATAATCAACCTTTTAGACCCATGCCCGGATGACACGAGACACCTGTTCTACCTGACCTCTGTACACAGTTCTTCGTGGCTCATTTCCAAATGAATATTCTAACCGGCAGCGAAAACTGCAAACAACACGCCATATGGTAGATGACATAGGAAACATAACAACGTGAATAACATCAACAAGGAGCGCACGGTATTCCAGTGGAACAGTTATCAAAATATCCACCCACTTCTGTGCACATAGCCTCAGAAAGCTTTACTATGATCGAGGTCGATGCCATGGAGTGTAACTGGTCAGTGTCCGCTTGCACCGCGCGAAATGCTCTTATTTGACCAAGCACCTAAAAGTAGCCTCTACCGATGTCTTCATGCAACAGAAGTGTTCTCCCACCAGGGTGAGGATGAAAAACCAACATACAGGGCTATACCCGGGTCCGTGAACCACTGGCAGTTTATCTAAGGGAATTGGCAAAATAACTTGACTTCAAGCAAACCGAGACGTACAAACCACACCCACCCCTTCCTGGTTCTGGTAATGGTCACCAGCTTGATTGAGCGCTTTAGACGTCCGCCCTTGTCCAAAGGGTATACGATGGGATAAACTGAATACCGATCCCCAATGGATTGTGGCTTGCAAACACCGTCCGGTTGTCTTGCGGTCAAGCTTTGACCAGCCAAAGGCTGATGAAGGTTCACGATTATTCACCTGCTTTGGCCTAGATAAGTCGGCAGCATTCCACCCACGAACAAATCATGGATTCATCTTATTGTACTATGATTTGTTAGGCACACAATTTGAGATCAGATATTTGTGGAAACAGCAGTCAGTGCTTTCCGATGCGGTCAAGAGCCCGAAATCATTAGGAAGAAAAACTTGCAGACACTAATAATTGATGGTGCAGTGTGCCAATGTACTAAGTCTGGATAGATCTGACAACCGATGACCCACTGAGGGGGGGGGACGCCGATAAACCTTGAGAAAAAACAGTGCTATCGCACTGTGTGAGGTTGAACGTTTTGAGGTGCAATCTGTTGAATAGAATTCAATCCCAGAAGTTAATAAATAACCCGTCCGAGCTGATTCACCTAAAGCCATCAAGGGGAGCGTCGTGGGTTCACATACAACTCCAGTGAATCCTTGTAATTCAAATGCATTGCAGATTATTCAATACAAGAAAAAATGATCACAAACTGCAATCTGTCATCCGAAAAAGTCAAATATCGAATGCAAACTCATGCGTTGTTCGCGAAAGAAAAAGGAGACAAACTTGTACATCTGGGTGTGTGTGTGTTTGGTATTTAGCGACGATCAATTGCAAGCATCAAAACAGACAGATTCTAAATTACCAGCTGGTTTCCCCGTGGTAAAGAAACCAGTACAGCTCGGGGACAGGGACGTGTGCCAGATACCAGCCACAAATAACAAGGTAGACAGTCTGTGTCGAGATGCGCGCGCAAACACACACAAACGATCCAAAGTGTTGTGTTACCAACACCCAAACAACAGAAAGATGAGTAAATGTTTCAATTTGAACACACAGAGCGACCGGGCGAATAGTGCATGTGGAGCATAATGCCACATGTAGAAGCGGTAATCAAGTGGAGAGACATATTGTAAATTTTCAAGAAAAATTAGATAGAAAACGCAACCAGTAAGGACTACTCACAAAATTCGAAAACTAAATCGGTGAAGAGTTGGCAACAAACTGATCACTTCATATGAATCCATGAAAAGCAAAATCAACCGTACATCTAGTAAAACGCGCGTATGGCAGGAGGGGTAAATATATGCAGAGTTGTAACCTACCGCAGAATGATGCGCATACTGTTGAGCCAAGAATCGAATACGACACTGTTCGGCACGACGACGTCGACGTAGATAGTGCAACAGTTTCGAACGGAAACGATGACGAAAATCGGATCGAATAGCCCTAAGACTAGCCAGATCCGATGGTTGTCGGTAGAGGGGTAAAGCATACGGGGACGCTTTGACATGCGGACCACAGAGCGGTTGAAAGATCAAATGGTGCTGTCTTGCACGTTGACGATTCTCCGAGATCAGTGACTGATTTTGCGGGGAGTGGGGGGGGGGAATTGAGAGAAAGAGCATCGATGGTGGATATCGAAACACGCAAACGTGTCAATTGTGGTAAAAGGGCTGAGGATTTATCTTTAAAACAGTAAGAGAAATTTCGACGGTATACGTATAAAATACAGACAAAAGAACATTTAGTACTATATCACGGTGATTTTCAAGTGGAACAGATTTTACTGAATCAAATGCAACTGGCTTTCAAAGCAAACAACCCGTGGACCGCTGCCCCAGCATAAAACCAATACGAAGCTCATTCATTTATCTCGCCCTCCAACGTTACACCCAAATGATGGATAAATTAGCTTATTTATGCTGAAAATAAGACACAGATCCTCGTGGTTTATGAGTCAAAGAATTTTCATGATTCGATTTAATTGCGATGATCGATAAAGAGCACTGGACAGCTGTTTCATCCTGTTCGGAACTCGTCAGCAGTGAGTACCTGAACCGCGAACATTCGGGTCGGGACTTCAAACCCTTACCCCTGAGCTACACAATCGACGGTCATCACCTTGCGTGATTGGCTCAATCGATTTAGGTGGTGAATGTTTGGATTAGACCATTCTATTGTTCACAGGCACTAGGCATTCTTGATGTTCTTGGGTGTATGTTTCGCTCCTTGGGAGATCGTTAACTCCCCACTAGTTGAATGTATGTAATTGCGATGGGAATATTAATATTATAATTATTATTAATAATAATTAATATTACAATATTAATATATATTAATGTTATTTTTGATTATTTTTGACAAACACACAACAATATCATTCAAAAGTATCCGCGGGGATGAATGTTCTGTTAGACTCTTGTTCGTTGTTTTATACTATTTTGCACTCTTCCCTCTAAATATTTTCCTCATCCACTTCAGCCCCTGTCACCCAGTTGTATGTTGAATAGAGCCTATATATCAGGCCTTTGTCTTCTGTCTGTTCAACAGTTGCCATGATCGTTTCACACATCAATACATATATATATATATATATATATATATATATATATATATAT